CTCTGAGTCATTTTACACAGCATGGGAAAGTTCTTTGGAATTTTCCTATGCTGTGTAATTTGACTCATAACACGCCTTTAAACCCCTTTCAACCAATCAGAGGGTTATGAGTCAAATTACACAGCATGGGAAAATTCAAAGAAAACTTTTCCACGCTGTGTAAAATGACTCAGAGCATTCTGATTGGTTGGATTCCAAGCCAACCAAAGTGCTGTGACAGGTAAATGCAGAGACCTACCTGTCAGTCTCTTCATTTACCTGTCAGAGTTTTGGGGCTAAAGAAAGAAAAGAAGAAAGAAGACATCTAATGGTAAGTATGAAATTGTATTTTACAGGATTAGTTTATTGACCCCCCTCACTATTATTAGGGTGATGGGGTTTGTTAGGGTATTTTTTATAGGGGGGAGGTGACTAGGGTCTTGGGGACCCCTAGTCACTTTATAGTAATGTGGGTTCTCAACCATGGGGGAACGGGGGACCTGTGTCAGGTCCCCCCTTATTGAAATAGCGACTTATTGCACTAGCGATTTGTTTAGGCGACATGCCCCTACTTGCTACATGCCACGAGCAGGGGCATGTGGGAGGATTTAACCTCCCTTTTATTAATAAGGGGGTCATAGTGACCCCCATAGGTTTTAATTGGGGGGTGTAGGAATTAATATTATTACAAGGAGGGAGCTGGTAGCGCTGCTGGCTCCCTCCTTGTTTTTGGGGGGGGTTTTTTAGCGCATAGGCAGTGCTATTTTCTCCGTGCTAGGTAGGTTAATTCCACCGCAGCACAGAGTCTATTAAAGGAACAAATCAAAGAGAAAAGTTAATACATTCAGCATTTCCCCTTTCATTTAATTTATATTTTGTATGTGGTGCTTTCGTTTACGTTTTACGAATACGTAAAAAAAATTCCCAAAAATGAATGCACATGTCTAGTGTCAGCTCTTTTTTATCAGTGTAACTGTTTCCATCCAATGCTTTAAAAAGTTTCTAGTTTTTCATAGTGGAATCTTGTATGTTAATATTAAAGTCTAAAAAATGTACTTCCGTTGGGCTCCATATAGGGGTTAAAACAATTCCCCAATGATTTTTATTCAAATGTTCTGAAAAAAACATTTAGGTCAATACTAGTATAAAAATAATATGTCATCTATGAAACAGGGATAGGACACCAAGTTTATGCTACAGGCAGGGCCGGACTGGGGATACAAAGCAGCCCTGGAAAAAAATCTATGCCAGCCCCATAAGTCATTGAGCTATGTAGTGTGTGATATATATGTGGGAAGGCCATTTGGCCTGAATTTGTGGGAGGAGTTATGACCCTATATAAACCCTACCCCCCTACTTACCTTTGCCGTTCAAGCTGTTTTGACTGTCTCCATAGTTACCTGCATTTCTGGTCAGCTGTTCCCGCCAAATCCTGCATCAAACAAACAGTCTCCCTCCAGCAGCACCTACCGCAGACCTCCGGGCTCATCCACTGGCCGCCCTGCTATTTTCGTCACCCATTCCAGGCTGCTCACAAGACCGGCACACATCACGTAAGCTTCAAACGTGGGAAATAGCATTCAGCTATTTCCTGCGTTCGGGCCTAAAAACGAGGGGATAGGCTCCCTTTATGCATAGTTATTTCTCACCTGTTCGCGTAATTACTACGTTCGTGTACTTCTGCGGTCGTGCAGCTATGAACCGACCGCAGAGTACACGCTTTTCGCTTACTCTCAATAAAGTACTTACCCACCGCCTATTTCTCACCCACTTTTGAAGGTTTCTGGCATTTGTCTGTTTAGACGAACGCGTACGATTGGCTTTTTGTCACTCAATCATTCGTTTAGGTCCTTGTCTATCTACCACACACAGGACAGTTATATCCCAAACGCAATATTAACCGAACACAAGGGGGGTTAAATATTTAGTTTATAAATTCAAATGTTCCTTACCTATTTCTTCCTACAGTTTTTCTTATATCCATGTGACACTATTCACCACCCATCATTTAATCTGATATATTCCCAGGGGCCATTCTCTTAAAGTAACATGTGGCCCCTATACGTTTGTGATATCGATAAGCTGAGCCACCATTACGCCTCTTAAAATTATCCAGCTCCATGCTTATTCTGCTCCTTAGTCATAATTATTTATCTTGTTTGGTTGCTTAAATCTCTGTCTAAATTAAACATTATTACTGTTTCCTTATACTTAAATATAATATGTTTTAGATTCTGCCTCTCTTCTTAAAGTAACAGCTCCAGGACGTAGTTCCAGTACCCCATTTCAAGATTCAGGTAAAAAAGGTTGCCATTTTTTTAATTTTCAGGAGGCCTCATTCAGCCTCCACAGCCTTTTTTACAAATCTCCTCCCACCGCCTAAGTGGGTTACAAACTTTAAAAACCTCCTGATGTCAAGATGCATCACCCATCATGTGACTGTTATTATTTGTACATATTAAATTTGTTTATCATTTCTGAATATCATTACTTAGCCCAGCGCCATTTTCGCTGTTAATAATAAAAAATGTAACTTTTTACGTTTCTCCTGAGGCCCCATTTCAGCCTCCACGGCCTTTTATACTATGCCCTCCCACCTCCCACAGTGGATTCAAACTTTAAACACACCAGGTTTAAAGATGCCTCACTCTCCATGTTACTATAATATTAAGTGTTAAGTCTGTTTTCATTTTTACATATCATTACTTAGACCTGCACCATTTCGCAGATTCACTACGCCTTCAACAACCATCAGGCTTCCTGGTTCCCGACTTTTCAGTATCAGGTATCCTTAACTCTTACTCACTACAAATTACGTCCTTCTAAGGCCTCAATTCACCTTCATATCTGTCACAAATACTGCTCATTTGTGGGAACCCAGGGGCTTGTCTCAAAAAAATTTGGACCAACGTTCAGGTCCCTCTGATTACACAGGTGCTTACGATACAGTTTCACTGTTACATACCATTCCATATGTTCTACATTTTTACATTTGGCATACCAATGGCATGCCTCAGGCCTACTAGTATCTTTCTTACCCTTAGGTTCCTGGACTGGACTTGTTATTCTCAGTATATATAGACATATATATTGAAGTCACCCTGAGCATTATCTAAATATACAGGACAAACACTCAAGGTCAGTATCTACATACGTTATATACTTCCTTCAAGAGGCAAGCCTTGGTCAGGGTAGAGAACTGGCTTTCAGGGTCAGGCGCTGGCCTTAGCTTCCCCTAATAATACTGCGGTCCGCGAGGTCTACACCCTTGCCTCATACACGGAGGTTGAGCCCCACGACCAAATCATAGCTAGCCACCTCGCTTGCTTCCTATGTCACGACCTCATGTTTTTGAATCTCTTACAGTCACCGAGAGGCCGACATCCTGCAACCTCATTCTGGTGGCCACAAACCCCCTCAGCCCAAATCATAGGTAGAGCCTCTCACCGCCACTTGGCAATAGCAGGGCCTCACCTGTCACTTGGTCCTAGGTATAATTCTTCGCTTCGGCATTAGCTAAAAGGCCAGTTCTCCGGAGGTCTCATCCCACCTCCACTATACCTTACTTATCCATATCATTCATTTCAGAATGTCTCAAGAACCGACTATCGATCCCCCATCAGACGAGGTACCCAGCACGCCAGGAGGAATCCCTCACTCCTTCTACTCCCAGATCCCTAAGATATTGGACCGTCCTCAAAATATCGGCTGAGCTCAGGTTCACCGCTAGAAAGGCTGAACTTTATAAACTGCTGACAGCTCAGGCCAATGACCCAAGGCCCGGCACAAGTTCTCAAGGGCCTCCAGTTGGCTACTCTGATTCCACCCAGGACACTTTGGCTGCTATACTGGCCAATCTGTAAGCCATAAACAGCAGGCTGCTGAAGGTGGAATCTGCCATAGCCACTCCAGGTGACTTCCCAGCCCTAGCAGTCCCTACTCCGGTAACCTCCACTGCTCAGACTGTCGTACCCCTCATCTCCCCTCCCCCTCCCCCACCAGCCACTACCACTCCCACTGCCCACACCTCACCAGCCCACTCTGTCCCGGCCTCCATCATGAAAGATATTCTTGATGGAAAGGACGTCAATTTAATGTCCCTCCTCATAGCCTCCCAAGACGTCCTAGAAAATAGAGCATATAACTACGGGGACATTTCAGTGGTCTTAAGAGCCAGAGATCCACGTTTAAATAAAAAACTCACTATTCCACACTTTGTTATTGTGTTTGACACTTATCGTGACGTTATCTGCACGGTGTACCCACATAGGAGAGAAGAGCTTGATTTATATATGCAAGGTGGTTGATTTGGGCATCAAGTACAGAGGGTCCTCATTTTACGATTACCACAAATCAGTTTCGGCTAAGGCACAATTCAATATTAGAATCAATTGGTGTCAGATAGATACTGAGTTATTCTGCCGTCATTTTGCTGGTTTGAGGCACCCGTCTTGTGCCTCTTGTGATTCCACTTCACACTCCACCGACCTATGACCTGAGGACACAGACCCTTCCACTTCCACCTTCTCACCCCAACACTCCCTCACCCAACTCCCAAGACAGGAAGGTGTCAAGAGAGACAAGCTGGGCAGACCCATCACATTCTTGGGTAAGGCGCAGGTGTGCAATAACTTTAACACAGGCGCATGCAACTACAGCGCATGCTGGTTGTTGCACATCTGCTCCATATGCTTCAGAGCCCACACAAAGACCATGTGCCCAACCCGTCTGACACCTAATAAATAGCAGGTTCATCACACACACCCCCCCCCCCATCAGCTGGGCGCATCAGAGTTAGCTGGTCCAAGGTCCTACCCAAAGGCTCACAAAGGTCTCACGACCTTCCCCTCACTCTTCAAATTACTCGACCTACACCAGGTTCTACCCGCATCTACAGCATTATGTATGGTGGTTCACCGGTTGTCCTCTAATCATACGACAACACCACGTCCAGACCATGTCCCATCCCATTTGCAACCTAACCCGTCACGGGAGGCTGCTTACTTGCAGTTCAAGTAATAAAAGTTGTTATTGACATTTCGTATCTTTTTTGCTTTTCCTCCAGATCATCTGGTAGTTTCTCTCATACCCAATGCATAATTTTATTATTTGCCTATATTCTACTATTCCAGCATGTAGGGATACACGGTTAAGCAAGAAAGATATATCTTACACCTCAATTACTACACCTCCTCTATTCAGCTGCTAACACTTTTTCATGCTCTTGAATTTCAGGTCTCCCGCCAGGCTCTCCCTCCGGCCCACCTCCAATCAGCCAGGACACAATCGTTCCACCGGCTAATCCTGGTTTAAACAAACTATTACTCCACGAACAAACACTCACGCACAACGCACTGTCTCCCAACACCGCTATCTCTTACGCTAGGGCACTGACTATCTTTAACAAATTTAAAGCCGAGGTTTGCTTACAAGGTGACCTTTCCATCAAAACCATGGTGGCTTTTGCCTCCTTTTGTCATTTACACCTAAAACTTTCACATAATACTATCAAACTCTTCCTTACCGGAGTACAACACCACATCCTCACTAACTTCCCTAACCACACTCCTTTTCTTTTTTCCAACCCCGTTAAGAAAATCCTCAAAGGTATTTTCATGGTCACTGTCCCTTCTAGCACGACTAGGCTACCAATAGACGGTCCAATATTCCAGCTCCTTAGTGACCTATTGGACAAATCCCCGTTTGACCATAATACTAATTTAGTCATGAAATCTGCCATCTTTTTGGCTTTCCACGGTTTCCTCAGACCTAGAGAGTTCACCGTGATACGTCAAGGAGAGACAGTACGATGTCTTAAACTTTCTCACTTAAAGAAAGTAGACGACC